CAGTGACCAAAAATAAACATAAGGGCTCTCTTTGAGATGATGGAAATGATTTAAAATAAAATCTAGCGATGGTAACATAATTCTATAAATACTTAAAATCACTAAATTGTATGCTTAAAAAACTACAAGTTCATAGAATCAGTAACTATCAAGAGGCATAATCAGGGCCACAAAGAGACCACCAAGAAACAAGAAAATCTTTGGGGAATGATGGAAATACTCTATATCTTTGTTGTAGTGCTATTTACATAAATGTATGTATTCATATTCCAGTGGATTGAATTTTACAGGTAAAAGAGTGAGACTGTATGCAGACCATACAACCATAAAGCTGATTTTTCTAAAAAGTTAAAACAAGAAGTAATATCTCCATTCCCACACAAATTTCAGCATATTTTTCAAGTTCAAACTACAGTTTAAGCTGCAGTTTTTGGACCTTAAAACAAGTGCAAAGGACACTTCCATATTTCAAGATCTATTTAACTATGCAGTGAGGAGCTTTCTTCTCTCCTACAGTTAAAAGTGACTAATCCACAATGAATGATAGTCCAAAAGATAAATATTAAGAAAATAATCTAACAAAATTCTATTCCAAGCAATGAACATGATATGCTAGTGTACTTTCAACAGTACATGGTAAGAATGACACTTTTACCGGAGATTTCCTCCCAAAAATACAATCCCAGTCTAATAACAAACACATCAGACAAAACTAAATTAAGGGATAAAGCATCTGACAAATTACCTCAGAATTATCAAAGTTGTTAAAATAAAGTTTGAGAGATTATATCACAAACCAGAGGACAACAAGGAGACAGAATGACTTAATGTAACATGCTTCCACATATGGGCTAGCTAAACTAGTGCAACTGGACAATATGTGAAGTATAATAGACAGTGGCAAAGCCGATGTGGGTTTGTCTGCGGTGACAAACATAGAACAGCAATGCAAGATGGTTCTGATAGGATATTTAGCAAATGGTATTGGGAAATATGACTATTCACATGACAAAAGATGCACTTAGACCCTCAACTCACACCATACCGAAAAGTTATTTCAAAATGAGTGCTAGATTTAAATGTAAGAGGCAAAACAATAAAGCCTCTCAAATAAAACAAGGAAAATTATTAAGAGATTAGGCAGACTTCCTAGGTATAACACTAAATGCATGCTCCACGAAAGAAAAAGTTATAAACTAGACATCACTAAAATGTAAAACTTTTTCACCTCAAAAGACACCATTAAAACTGACTGTGGTGGTACACACCTATATTCCCAGCACTCTGGGAGACTGAGGCAGAAAGATCACAACTTCAAGCCCAGCCTGGGTAACTTCATGAGACATTGTCTCAAAAATAAAAATAAAATAATATAAAAACTTTAAAAGGGTTGGGGATGTAGCCCAGGACAAAGGCCCTAGGTTCAATCCCCAACACCATATCAAAAAAAGAAAAAGAGACACCACTAAGAAGAGAAAAACAAACAGCCCACTAGCAGGAACTTGCATCTAAAATATATAAATAATGCTTGTGATTCAATTAAAAACATAATTTAAAATATATAAAAAATAAACAGATAACTCACTGTAGAAGATACACCAATGATTCATAAGCACATCAGTCTTTAAGGAAATAAAAATTTAAACCACAGCAAGCTATCATTTTACACTCACTTAGAACGACTATAATAAAAAACAGACACAAGTCTTGCTGAGGATGTGAAGTAACAGGACCCTTCATACACTGGAAGTAGAAATGCAAGACAATTATTTCAGTTTAGGGAACAGTTTTGTAGTTTCTTTAAAAGTTAAACATAAAAATTCTGTATGATCCAGTAATTCTATGCTTAGGTATACACCAAAAAGAAATGAAAACATGTTCCCATATAGAAACTTGCATAAGAATGTTCTTAGTAGAATGAGTCATAGTAACCAACAACTGGAAACAATCTAGATGTCCATCAACTGCTGACTAGACAGACAAAAATGTATTAGATCCATAAAACAGAATAGTATTGGGAAGTAAAATGTATGAAAACATTTATATATGTTGTATAATATAGTTGAACCTTTAAAATACTGTGCTAAATCAAAGAAGCCAGACATGACAAAGGGACCAAACATGTACACTAGAAGAAAGATAGCCTCTAGAATAAGTGGTACTGGAAACACTGGCTTTCCATATGCTGAAAACTAAAATTAGGTCCATGTCTATGACCACGCACCAAACTAAAGTCAAAATGGGTCAAAGATGTAAATAATAAAACAGAAACAGTAAATATGTTGGAACACAAAATAGGTAGAAATCTTGATGATACAGGCAGAGAGTTCATGAACAAAATCCAAACTACACAGGAAATACTTCCCAGAATCAACAACTATAAGCTTGTCATGGGTTTTGTCAAAGAAAACCCATGAGTTGGGAAAATATTTTAATCAAGTGTCCCTCAGACAAAGGACTTCTATTTAGAACATATGAATAATTAAAAAAAAATCAGGCCCCTAAAATTCAAAGACCCAATCCAAAAATGGGCATCTGAGATGAATACATGCTTCTCAGATGAAGAAATACAAATGTTGTCATTCGAGAAATGCAAATTAAAACCACACTGAGATTCTATCTCACCCCAGAAAAAAATGGCCAAGATCAAGAAATCAATCAATAACAAATGGTGGAGGGGCTGTGGGGAAAAAGAAACTCTTCTCCACTATTGGTGGGAGTGTAGACTGCTGCAACCACTGTGGAAATCAGTGTGGAGATTCCTCAAAAAGCTAGGATAAGCGATTTCATTTGACCCAGCTATCCTGCTTCTAGGCATTTTCCCAGAACTGAAAACATCATACTGCAGTGACATATGTGCATCCATGTTTATCGCAACAGAAATTGTAATAGCCAAATCTTGGAAATAAACCAAGTGCCCATCAATCAAGGAATGGATAAAAAGATAGAGTAATTTCATACAATGGAGTACTACTCAGTTATAAAGAAAGATTGTATCAAGAGTTTTATAAGTAAATGGATGTCTTGAGAGCATACTCCTAAGTGAAATAAATCGAACTCACATGTGTACATAATGTATTGTCTTCCTAGTGTAAGAAACTGAAAAATTATATACAGTCCAAAATCTACATTGTGTAAGGATAAGAAACTTCTCAAAGAGGAAAAGTAATTGGGATAGGAGAAAGGAGGAAAGAAGAAAAAAGGAAAAATACATAAATTTGTGTGTGTGTGTGTGTGTGTGTGTGTGTGTGTGTGATAGCTAAATCATTATATTACTAATTGTATTAGTTATTGAAAAAAAGTTAATATTCTTATGATTAGATTAATTTTACAAGTCTGTATCTGTTAATCTAAGCAACCCTTTTGAAATTAATTACAACAACTGTCAAATGCCTATCATCTAGTTTTGTAAATATATACTGTTATTGTATTTGTTGTCTCTCTCACTTTTTGTTTTACTTTTCTGTGTCTTTTTTCTCTTAAAGAAAAAAGAAGTGTGACACAAAATATCTTGCATTATACAATTTCATTTACATGAAATGTCCAAAATAGGCAAGTTTATAGGCACAAAAGACTTGATTAGTGGTTGCCTAGGCTGGGAGTGGGAATGGATATTAATCACAAATGGACATTAGAGCTAACTGGGAAGATTAATGCATTCTAAAACTGACTTTTGGTTATAGTTGCATCACTCTATAAACTCTATAAAATCATTTAACTATATACTTTTGAAAGAAGTGAATATTATGATATGTAAAACATTTTAAGTAAAGTCATTAAAATGAAAAAAAAACAGAAATTTCGATGAAGATTATATGGGGAAACTGTACTTGCAGCTTTTCTATACATATAAAAATATTCTGAAAATTTAAGAAATGCATTTAAATAAAAATTTAAAAATACATGTGCATGGATTGACATCAGTATTTGGCATACCTGGTCGTATGAAAAGACATTTTCAAAGAGGACATATGTAAAATCTCATTGTGTATCAGCATTAATGACTGAATATTTGGGGTCAATTTTGGTAGTAGGACACACTAACTGACCCCCAACTAAGCAAAATGTTACTGCTTGAAAAGAATTCTATTCTCAGTATTCCTGTGTTTCGAAAATGTACATTCTTATGTTATTAGTAGTAAAAATGTTATTATATTTTGAATATCATCAGTAAACATTTGTCAAAATTTTTTCTCTCTTGTCGTAAAAGTAATTACAAAATATCCTGGATTTTACCTTTTGCCCCACAAAGCCTAAAATATTTACTACCTGGCTTTTACAGAAATTTTGTCAAGCCTTATTCTACAGCATAATATGATAAATAAAAACATAACAAGTTTCTTTCTTGAATGTATTCTTTATCATTCCTAGTTTTGGCAAAATGTCTTCCTGGATATACCCTGCAAAGGGAAAAGGAAAAGCTTTGCATCTCTTTTGTTATGACACTATTGGGATTTCCATAAAAATAAACACCACCGGTTTAATAGTTCTAGCAAAGTCTCGATATCATCATCATTACTGTGATATTAAAGTGTCAAGACATGCCGACAATGACCCTTATGAAGTGGTAATGTCACCAAGACAGGGACTCACTGAGATCTCTTAGATATCAAGTGGCTCCCAGGGCATCACACCTCCTCCTCCCTTTGGCATCACCCCGACACAACACCTTATTATGATGCCATACGCTATCACTGCTGTGGCAGAACCCTGGCCTGATGCCACTCCAGTGAGATTTTTTTAACCCTACTTTTTTCCACTCCTTGGGTGGTGGCAGGGAGGGGGAGGGTAGTTACAGTCACCAGTTCGAGCTCACTTCCAACTGTTGTCCCTTCCGCTTGCCACTGCAAGTCCAGGCCCCCCGAGAAACAGAATCTTTAGGCTCCGGGAATTCTCTTGCCTCGCCTCTGCACCCGTTTCAAGTGTTCCACTCAAGGCACCCACAGAGATCACCCATCCCAGCTCTTTCACACAGTTTCATACGAAGCCGCTTTCCGTACCTGACTCCATTCTCCAGCTGTCATCATGGGCCTATTCCACCGGCAAATTGACTACGGAGGTCGCAAGGGACTCTGGGGCTTGTAGTCCCGCACTGTTAGGGGCCAAGTCCGTGAGGACAAGTAAGGCGCCTCCCCGCCCAGAACGGCTCTCAAACTGCAACTCCCAGAAGCTCTGCGCCATGGGAAAAGAAACGACGGAACGAGAAAGGTCTGTGATTGGTGGAGTTTAAGCCTGTTCTGATTGGTAGCTGGAGGCCACGAGGCGGGCCTTCCCTACGTTTCGTGTTCTCTTGAGAAAGCGAAATGGAGGGGTGTGTATCTAACCTAGTGGTGTGTAACCTGGCCTATAGTGGGAAACTGGAAGAGTTAAAGGAGAGCATCCAGGCCGACAAGTCCTTGGCTACTAGAACTGACCAGGTAAAGCCACGCCACAGCGTCTCCATAGTTGGCGGCATCGGAAAAGCCCTACGTGGCTTCTCGGGCCCAGCCCAAGCGGTACCAGTTCTGAAGTAGAGCCCAGCCCTCGCCTCCGCGTCAGCACGCCAGGGTCACCTCGGGACTCGCAGTCAGTTGCTGAAGTCGGCCCCACACACCTCAATAGTTTCTTTGTTTGTGTGTTTGGGAGGGGGGTATTTTTTTGGCCCTGCGCTTAACTCATAGAATTGGACGTTTCTAGAACGTATATCGTACTTCTCAGAAATGCCGGCTTTGAGGTATGCATGAGGACAGACTTGTGTGGATTTCTTTACCCTTTGTACAGTAGTGATTATATTCAGTGAAACACATGTAACTGAACGCGTCTCCACTGCCCGCCAGTTTGTTAAGAGCTGAGGAAAAAAGCACTCAAATTGGTCGAGTAGAAAAAGCGGACAATATTAAATTCTCCCTATTTTTATGTTTGAAATTTTTATAAAATTTAATATACCACTTGAGAGCTGGAGGTGTAGCTCAGTGGAGAACTTGCCTCCCATGGAGCAGTCCCTGGGTTCTGTCAGCACTGAAAACAAAAGTTCTACCTTCTATAACATAGGACTGACCAAAAGATATAGCTAAAAATGCAAATGTGAATTCCCTTTGAGAAATGTGACTAACTCTGGCTTGTCATTTTTTAAAAGCAGCTTTGTTGCTTTTTTATTCTGTATGTGGTATTTTTAATGGTATATAATCTCAACAAGTTTTATGGACATTTCTTCCTCCAGTATTCATGTGTTCTTTCCAGAACATCTAACTTGAGATGAGAATGGTGGTTGAGATTTCAGAACCAGGCAGATCTTGCTAAGTTGTGTGACCATAAGCCATTCACCTCAGGGAGTCTTAGTTTATCTGTAAAATGGGGATAGTATCCACTGTATAGAATGGTGGAGTTTAAGTCATATGATACATAGAAGACTCCTAGCACTGCGCCTGATTTACAAGTATAAAAGTAATAGTAAACAACCAAATCTCCTTTTCTGCCAAAGCATTGGAATCAGTTTCTTCCTCTATTGATTTCATCACTGTGTGCTACTCAGAATTACATTCGTCGATTGTTATTCACCCCATGTTACTAAATTCTTTATCTCTTGTACTACAGCGGTGATGTAATTCGAGGTTACCCACCTGAGGATGCTGTGTGCTGCATTTCTTGTTTTCAAACAGTGGGTTTGCTGGAACTAATATTTTTTTGTCCTTTTTGCATTCTTTTTTCTCTTCAAGTATATTGACCAGAGTGTTGCTCTGTTTTCCACATAGGACAGCCGAACTGCATTGCATTGGGCCTGTTCAGCAGGACATACTGAGATTGTTGAGTTCTTGCTCCAACTGGGAGTACCAGTGAATGATAAAGATGATGTGAGTACTAGGCAAAACTAGTAAATACCCAGTTATCTTTAGACTGTACCCCGGTGTTTACTGAAGCCTCAATATTAAGTTCATAAGCAAGACTGTAACCTTTACAGTCAAGAAGTTACAGCATTTCCCTGGTGATCAAGCATGTGACTAGTGGTTGCATTATTTTAGAATGTTAATTTTGTTACTCATAGTCTGTCCTTTGGGGTAAAAATATAGATCTGGGCTTATTACTGTGAACCCTAAAAGACTGTAATTCTTTTTTACAATTTTTGGATGTTTTTGTGAATAAAGAAGGCCTACTTTATATAGAAATAGTGTTAGAATTTTAAAGAATAAAAACCTTTTTTGTTGGCAAAAATTCCTTTTACAGGAATGCTTACTGAATTAATATTTGTAATAGGAAAGAATTAAAAATAATTTAATGGGTAAATGGTTGACTACGGTAAAATACATCCCTATAGTGAAGTAATATGCATCCAACAAAAGTGTAATCACAGAGAACAACAGAAAAATTCTCACAATGTAAATGAAGTGGTGAAAAAAACTCTTCACAAAACTATATCCTCTGATCCTAGTTTGATTTCAAAGTACTGTATTATATAGGAGCAAATACACTGGAAATAGACTTATATATCTTTTAAGTCTTCATTATCATATTGTATTTTTTTCTTTTTTATAGTACATTGTTTTCCAAATTCTCCAGTGCTTTATGAGGGGTAAAATGAGTGTTTTTTAAACTATTCACACATAACATAGTAAACCCTGTGTAAATGTTCACATTGATATCTATGCCTTTTCCCCTGGTTTCGTATAACCCACCTATTTTGCAGGCTGGTTGGTCTCCTCTTCATATTGCTGCTTCTGCTGGGCGAGATGAGATTGTAAAGGCCCTTCTGGGAAAAGGTGCACAAGTGAATGCTGTCAATCAAAATGGTTGTACTCCTCTCCATTATGCTGCTTCCAAAAACAGGCATGAGGTATAGTTCTGCCCCTAGGCTACTTCTGTTGTGTTCTAAATGTGTACATAAAAACAAATAGATCTCTGCAGTAGTCTCTTCTCTGTCTTTTTCAGATTGCTGTTATGTTACTAGAAAATGGAGCTAATCCAGATGCTAAGGACCATTATGAGGGTACAGCAATGCACCGGGCAGCAGCCAAGGGTAACTTGAAGATGATTCATATCCTTCTGTACTACAAAGCATCCACAAACATCCAAGACACTGAGGGTAACACTCCTCTGTAAGTGATAAGTAAAGGTCATTTGTATTTTACTTAACATTAGCCCTCTAATAAATCTTATATATCATTTCTTTTATTATTCTGTTTATACATGTTAGTAGCAAAAATCTGAAGGTACACTAAAGCATAAAGATTAAAATAAAAATTGCCTGTCATTTCCCATCCAGAAATCACCACTGATAATACTTTTGTGAATTTTTTCCCAGTCTTTTATATATACATGTGTATATTTCATATATATATATTTTAGCAAAACTGGGGTCATATTGTATATCTTGCTCTTTTTATTTCATATGGTGAGCATTTTTGATGTCATTAAATACATTTAAAACATTATAAATGACTATGCAGTCAATTTTATAGATGGACCACAATTTAATCATTCTTCTATTACTTTATAAACTTTTTGAGTTTTCCACTATTGTAAATACTGCTGCATTGACCAACTTTATATAAAAATCTTTGTCCCTATTTCTATTACTGTAATATAGACTCCAAAAAGTTGAATTACTGGATCAACAAATTTACACATTTTAAGGCTGTTGCTACATGTTGCCAGATTGCTTCCAGAGGAGTTGTATCATTGTACCCTCCCAAGAGCATTTTAAGAATTCCCTTGTATCTGACATCAGTACTGAAATTATCCTTTTATTATAAAAATGTTATTTTATGTTTGTAATTTACATTTCTTATTGTCATTGATTTTGAAACTTAATGCCTATGGCAAGCTATATTTCTTTAACCCATTCACAATAGGCTATAATGTGTTATTCTCACTTCCAGGTGGCTCTGAAGCACCGGTGGTACGTGCATGGGTGATAAAAGCTACGAATGAGGCAGTCATGCATGTATCACTGGTGGTTCAAGCCTGCAGGAATGTGTTAAATTGTAACATTGTGTCCCTTTCTGTTTTCTTTGGAGGAATTAATTTGTTTTCACTGATTTTAACTTTCTGCCACATTGGTTGAAAATATTTTTCCCAGTTGATCTTTTTATTTTTTTACATGATCTTTTAAAATCACACAAGTTTTCCATCTCTGTAATCAAACCAGTTAATCTTCCCTCATGACTAGAAAGCTCATTCTCAACATGAATCTACTTACCTATTCACCTATATTTTATTATAGATTTTCTTTAACATTGCATTGCTTTTGATTGAGAGTTGTTACAGTTTTGCATTTAACTCTTATATGTATGACCTGAAGCCAGCCTCTGCCTTGATATTTTTCTACATTATTTGGCCACTTTTCTTCTATGTTGAATTGTGTCTGTTTTTCAACCAGAAAATCTGAGCCTTCTTTTTAGTCCAGAGTGAGGTTCATTCAGCCTTCTCTAGATTGACTAAGCCAACTTGCTAAAAGTATTACTTTATTAACTTTTAGTTTAAAAGATTTTCTCTGTATTTCTGACTCATTCAGCCTTCTCTAGATTGACTAAGCCAACTTGCTAAAAGTATTACTTTATTAACTTTTAGTTTAAAAGATTTTCTCTGTATTTCTGAGTGACTCTTTTGGAAAGTCCCATATATTTTAGCTCTTTTCTCCAAAACTCATAAGGGAAGATTGCCTGGAGGAAGCCTAGAATTCAGACAATATGGAGTCCTAGGAAAAATACAGTGTTTTGAAATAGCTATTTACTGTTCCTCTGATCCAAACTCTATCACTTTCCAGCTATATTAACTATACATTAAACTTCCTGAGTCTTAACATCTGCAATGCTATGATAATAATTCCTTCCTCACTATATTATTGAGAAGTTTGAGTAAAATACTATATAAAGTGCCTAGTACTCTGCATAGAAAGCTGTAAATGCCTAACAGAGGCTGCTTTCCTCACCCCCCCTCCAGTTTACTGCTCAGCCGCATCATCATAACTAAGAGTTTTAACCTCTTTCACAATTTTAATTGTAAAAGATGACATAATACCGTTATTTGCCAAGTAGATATATCGATCAAATGAAATACAATATTTTTAACTGCTTTTTTAAAGTTTAAGCCATATGAATTGCTGCTAACAGATTATGAATTGAGGCTTTTCTGAATTCTAACCCAGATTTATTACATGCACTATTTGGGGTAAACTACTTCTGATCTCCATAAAATGAAGAAAGTTGGGGTAAACTACTTCTGATCTCCATAAAATGAAGAAAGTTTTGCTTTAGGCTGTCATTCGGATCCCTACTTCTATCATAGAGTAGTAGGAGGAAGATTATGATTTATAATCTATTGCTTTATGGGTATTCCAGTGAATTTTAACTTATAAAGTCTTTCCCATACAAGTTGATTTTCCTTTTCTGATTAAATAAATTTCCAGTGTTACTGAAACCTAATAATATGCAGTTTAGACTGCCTAGCAGGAACTCCTAACCATTAAATAGTCTTTATGTTAATTGGTCTTTGTGTTCCCCAATTTCAGACACTTAGCCTGTGATGAGGAGAGAGTAGAAGAAGCAAAACTGCTGGCATCCCATGGAGCAAGTATTTATATTGAAAATAAAGAAGAAAAAACACCCTTGCAAGTGGCCAAAAGTGGCTTGGGTTCAATACTCAAGAGAATAGTGGAAGGTTAAAGCAACTTGGATTTATTCTTGCTTTATTTGTTTTGTTGTCCTCAATGGCCTGGAAACTAATATACTTGAGCACAAAGCATCATCTACAATGGATGAAGTTTTCTTAACTTCAGAATCTTACTAATATGTTGTATTGCTCGTGCTGAGATAATTAACTTGTTCTAAACTTGCTATACAACCTGCTTTCCAGGCATTGAATAATTATTGATATTGTTCTGTTGTCAAATATTGTTTTCTAATATTGAATTTTGGTTAATTTTGAGCGTTTGTGTGACTGTTATGAATCTTCAGCACCTTCCTGTGTACCTTCTTTCTTCTGAAGCACAGTCACCCCAGTAGCAACAGGCATGTTGCTCTGTTGGGTGGTTCCAGGTAGAACGTGTATCATCATATAGTTAAAACACATCCTAATACTCAGAGACCTGTACCAGATGTTTCCTTTTTTTCCCAACTATCAGTATTTTGTTCTAAGATATATATATATATGACCAAATTTTAAGTTGGAGGATATGTTCTAAAATAATAAAATAATGGGTAGCCTGTGTACCCATGTGTCTCTTTGATGAGCTGTTTTTCCTTCAAAACAAGATGTTTTGTTTTTAAAAAGAAAATTTTGAAGTACCTATATGGACTCACCTTGTATTGAAAAGAATGTCTAGGTTATTAAAGTGATTGTAACAAAAAGGTATTTCGATTTGTATTTCCAAATTTAAGAAAAATGTTAGAATAACAGCCCATTTTTTTTCAATTCAGACATTGACTTAAGGTTTAAAATTCTGAGTAAAAACATCTCTCAGCTGTGGGTAGCTCTAAAATCAATAACATTAGTACAGCTTGAACTGCAACTAAAATCTTAGAATTGGTAACTAAATGCAGAGCAAAAGAAAATAAGTGCACATTTGAACTCAATTTAGGGAAGCATCTTAAATGATTGTTATAAAATCTAACATACTCAAAGTGACTTCAAATTCTTTTTGGATTTGAATGTTAGACTGCAAATATTGTTTGAAATAACTGATCCAAGTGAGCCCACAAACCTGTATTAATTTGAGGTCAAAGGCTTAATGACCAATAATTTATATGTTTTGTAAATATGAACTCTGTTGTTTATAAACAAAACTGTTTTACATAAGTTTATTTTTGTAGTCCTAAAGATTGAAACCAGGGACATTAGGCAAGTGCTTTACCATTAAGATATGCCCCCAGCCCAGGGAAGCATCTTCTTATGGAATAAAAATGTTGCTTTACTGAATGCTGGAGACAGAATAAAGTGATAGGGAAAATTAATTTTAATTCCAATACTTTCAATGTGATTAAACAGTAAAGTTTTGTCTAATAGGATCTGTTAAGACTAAAGGACTAAAAGGACTTTAAAGGATTTAAAAGAAACTCATTTTAATCCCTTAGTGAGCAATACAGATGGAATAAAGACTAGGGTAATTTGTAGACTTAAGTAACTTGTTAATATTGGAATCACTGATTTGTATAAACTAAGGCCTCAGATCCTAACCAAATTGTTACCTGTGGGAAATCTGATACAGATGAAGCTGATTCAAGATCAGCAGCATGTTTTAATTACTTCCAAAGCAAACTAAAAAAAGACAGTATGATTTTAAAGTTTAACTGAAATTCTTGGTATTAATATTTTTCTTTGAAATTCTATATTACTTTTACCTTTTTTCTGTTATGTCTTGTTTTTCTTTAAATAAAAAAATAAAAGTAAATAAAGTTTAACTGAAATGAGTCAATAAATACTGGAAAATTTTCATTCTTAAGTACCGTTTATAGAGAATTCCTAATTTCAATGAGATTCTATGAGATTCAAGGTAAACCTGCATTCTGCTCTATAACCTTTGTCTTAACAGTTTAACTCTGTGACCCTAGTGTTTTGATTTACCATTTCTCAGTTACACCACTGACAAAAGAATTTTTTTATGCAGCTCTACCTACAGTTTTCTGCTTCCATATTCTGCTATGGAATATTAGTCTGTTAGCAAAATTGATATATAATATGGGGGCTCTTTATTTTGAGTTATATGGATTTACTTTCAGAGTGCTATTGACTGCCTAAAATTGAATCAAGAATGTCTTATGTGCATTTTTCTGGAAAGAAAGCTCATAGATTTTTGTCAAGTTCTCAGAAGGATCTGTGATTGCTTGGAAAATTAAGAATCACTGGGTAAGAGAAAAAAGAATACTGAAACAATTGTCAGGAGCTTGAGTTCTAGAACATTGTAATTTACCACACTTGATAAACTTTACATCTATTCTTAGTTTTGCTTTCAAAAAGACAAAAGTCATCTCCATTTTACACATGAGAAAATACGCGATAACAAAATACAGTTATCCTGGATTCTAATACATTTTTTTTCTGTCTATACTTAAAAACTCTGAACCAAATGTAAGGTACTCTGGCATTGATAATAATCTGTTCTAACACCTACCCTGTGCTTTTCTTCAGATTGGCTATGACATAATAAATATATATTTGGTTTCAGTTCCAAGTTACTTACAGAAGTCCTGTAACTTTTTTTCTTAGTACATATTTCCAGTAAATAATGATTACATTCCTTGTGGGGATTTGGTACTTGCACATAACAAATCCTGTTTTTTCATCTCTATCTCTTCCCTTCCCCCCGACCCTTCACTTCTTGTTCCCCTTCCCATTGGAGAAAGATCTGTCTCTCTAATTCTTGCTACTTTTTATTTTACTCTATTTTGGGTTTCTCATATAAGAGAAACCATATGGTATTTAAGCTCACGTCTCTAATTTATGTCACATAACAGTATGGCCTCAAAGTATAGAAGTAAAAGTATCTTATCCAGAACTGCTAAATCTCTTCAGATTTCTTGGTATTAGGAGCATCTTCTGTTCTAATCATGAGACTCTTGGGCTTCCTGGATAGCTTTGCAATGGGGGCTATTCACTGTAACAGCCAAACCGTGATCAGAAACTTGGAGCTTTCAGTACCATCTCTCATCCTATAGCAGGAACAAGACTAGACTGAGTTAATGTGATAAAAGTGTGAAAAACTCACACAATTAGGGTTAAATGCTATTAAAGGATCTTTTGTTTTCCTTCATTGGCATTTTTTTGTTTCCCTGAAGCCCTCATCATTTTCTGAATTCTTTGTTTTTAAACCAAAGCTTCAAAGAAAACTGGGATTGTTAACTGTTGATTAGTTTGAACCACATTTTTTTATATGTGGTTCTGGGAATGGAACTTAGGTCCTTCATGTAGTGGGCATATTCTCTGCCACTGAGTTAAACACCCAGCTTCATCCTTTGAACCTTTTGTGATGTCGTTTTCCGGTATGTAGACGTAAAGCAACTTTTTATTACTAAAATTTGGTATTAATTGAAATTAGTTTGGTTCATTTAAAGAGGATTATACTAGGAGCCAGAATTTGGATCTAGTTTCAACTTTGTGTAATCTCAAACACATTATTTCCCCTTTGTTTACTCAGGGATTCGTCTATGGGGATTAGGTGGGGTTATGTAAGAACAAAGCAGTTTCTTTTTTTTTTTACAAAGCTTTTTAAAAGTACATTGACTTTCTTGTCTCTCATCAAGAATGTACTATTCTGGATCTCCCACTTCCACCCGCATCATTGTTAGGAGAGAACCACTGTGTGTGTTGCAACGCTCATATTTGCTGGTGTTGGAAAAGGTTGAGTATGATCAGTGGTAAAGTTTTCTTCCATCTCTGAAATTATTATTGAAAGTTTATGAGGCTTGAGTTATATACAGGCTAGTGTTAAAGGCAAGTATTAACATCTCAACATACAATATGAATCACCTGGGATTCTAAGAGGAAGAAATACCAATACATGTGATTTCTTACAGAAATCATTGTATTTTAGGCCACTTTTTCTGGGGGTTTAACTCAGTGGCAGAGAATATGCCCACTAGTTTCATTCCCAAATCACTATAATTTGGAAGCCTTCCTTAATGCAGTAAAAATTGCAGCTATCTTCTACCGAATTGTCAAAAACACACTAATCATAGCAAAACTGTAGTCCATAAAAAGTATCTCTGATTCTGCTCAACATTGTACCACCAACAGTGCCAGTTTCATAGTAGCTGTACAATAAATGTCCAGTGAATGATATAAAGAAATCAGGAAATAAGGGTTTACCACCAAAAGCTGTTCTGTTGACTTGGCACACCCTAGTTACTAAATGTACAAAGATGAGAAAGAGCAGTTCCTTGAATTCATTTTGTACGGCAAGAATGGCTTTTTAAGAAACATGGGGCTGGCTTCACATTTTTTGTGACTCCCCATTAAATTTTAACTACTTGGGGCAAAGTAAGTAAGTTAGTACCCATTCTGAATAAGAATTATTCTAAAATAATTTGGTCAAAGCTTAACTAGTCAGAATATTTTGATGTCTGATCCAATGTTAATAAAAGCAGAAAACATTTTGTTCTCATATTGGGAAGATTTTAACATACAAACCCTTTTCTGCCCACATGAGATTTAGTGAGCAGAATTGTGTTACTCCAGTATTTTACAGATACTCAAGATTCATCACAAACATATATACTAGGTGTATCATGGATGTACTTATGGAAGTGGATGAAGTCACACTGACCAGAGTGACTGTAAGTATAGTCTAAGTACATGGCACACCCCATGGTTTGATTTGAGAGGGGTTGACAAGATTCCTTTGTCTAGATTGTTTTAGTACCTGAAATTCAACCACTTAGACTTTGGATTATGGGTTACCTATGTTTAAGAATCCCCTGTAAGAGGTAAATTGTGAATGTGGGGTGGTGGTGCACATCTAGAGAATCATCTCTTGGGAGACTAAGCAGGAGGATTACATCAGTTGTAGGCCAGCCCGGAAAACCTAGCTTTACCCTGTTTCCAAAAAGAGGTAAAACTTTAAGAGGCCTAAGTCATTTGTCAACATGAAGGAGTTGACTGGATAATAAAACTATGTTCAATGGATAAGAACAGGTCATAGAAAAGCCACCTTTTTTTAAGGGTGGGAAGAGTAGGGATTGGTCTTGAGTAATGAATCTTACCTGAGGGATACAGATCTCAGTAGGTCACTAATGAGACCTACTAGTAAGAGCATGGGAATCCTGGGTGTCTGGAAAATAAGGCACTGCAAAGGCCAGGAAAGGAACTGAGAGGAAAAATCTAAAGGCATATCCTCGATCTGTTGGACAACATGGACTCTGCATATTTTAAAATCCAGACATTTCTGTCTGTGTCATCCACAAATATTAAGTGTGACTCCCGTGTTTATGTCTAAATCAGTGTTCTTAATGTTGAATCCAGGTAGTCTGTAACACATTTGAAAATGTATGCAATTCTTGTGTGTGAGTTTTTCAATGGCAAGGGATTCACAGTGTTCAGGAGATTCTCAAAGTGATCTGTAACTAAAAGTTAAAACCAATAAATAAATAAAAGGCTAAAACCGATTGATCAAACTATTTAGTGTTTTGAATAGAGCAGTATTAATAAGGACAGAGTTCTAGAATATTAATAGTGCCTGCCAAGACCAATTATATCTGCCTTCTTAGCACTGATCTATCAGAAATGTTGGATTTAGTATTGAGTATTACATGTTGGTCTTAGATTTGCCTGGATCATAAAACTGAGGGAAGAATGACTTCTAGCTTCTTAAACATAATGGTCATCAAGGTGATTTTTTTGTATACTGTTGATGTTTAGTTTTTAATATCTAAATATTAGGTTAGTCTTAAGATCATCATTTTATTTCCTATACTAATCAAACTGTATATGTCATATAGTTTATTTTCTGTGAACAGAATTACAACTGCTTCAAAACTCCCCGAGACTGGTTGTAAACTGACACATTAATACTTAAGTAAAAGCTCACTAACTGTTCTCTTCATTACTCTGGACAATTGTAATTTTTACTTCCATTTCAACCCACCTTAAAATCTACAGACTCTTCCTCAGTTTGGTATATGAGTGTGATCCATATAGAAAGGAGTTTGCCGTTTAAGAAAATCCTTTACATGAAAATCTGGATGTGATAAATTTGAGGTTCATTACCTCACTTGAAAAAGATTCACCTTAGAAGTCACATACACTGTGTGATCACATTTGCATGAAGATCAGGAAAAGACAAAGATAATTTCTATGGAATACAGATTAGTGGTTTCTGAGATCCAGGGAACAAGGGCATTGCACAAAAGAGCATAGAGAAAACATTTTGGGCTTGCAGAAGTTCTCTCTCCAGATGGAGACAGTGGTTCCATGGGTGTGTATGACTGTGAAAACGCATCAAATTGTACACTTAAAATGGCTGTTATTCATTGTGCTTAAGTTACATGTCAATTAAGTTGCTTATTAAAAGTCTTTATCTTAGGGGTCATTAAAATTAGATTTGGAGTATTATTTTTGATGCTTAAAACAATTTAAAATATAATTGATTACACCCGTGAACAAGTAAGTCTGCCTGTAAATTTCTTTAAGGTGGAATGTGAGTGAAATATCACAAAAAAGCTTTATAACAGTTCAAGAGATCAGTACATGTTAGTTAATATCTACAATTTACTGAAGAATAAATTTGCTTTATTAATGTGGGATCTAACAAGAGTAAAATAGATTTAAACAATGAAGAAGCAGGGGTACAAACAAAGGAACTACAAAGGCTATTCACAGAAATAATTAAGGAAAACTTCCCAAACATAGTAAAAGGAAATGATATTCAGATCTATGAGGCATACAGAACTCCAGCCACCTACAACCAAAACAGAGCTACACCCAGGCATATAATAATCAAGATTCCAGAAATTCAATATAAGAATAGAATATTAAAAGCTGTTAGAGACAAGAAACAGATAACCTATAAAGGAAGGCCCATCAGAATAATCGCAGACTTCTCCACACAAACCATCAAGTTAAGAAGAGCCTAGAGCGAAATATTCCAAGCCCCGAAAGAAAATAACCTCCAGCCCAGATTGATATACCCTGATAAATTGTCTCTAGAAATTAATGGAGAAACAAGATGCTTCCAAGACAAAGAGGAATTGGGAAATTTGCAACTACCAACCCAACTCTACGGAGAATACTGCAGGGCATTCTTGAGAAAGAGAAAAGTACTAGGATTACAGGAACAGTGGCAGAGAGGCCTCAATGAATGGAGCAGAAAACAGAATGAAGAAGATAAACAGACAACTGATGGCAAAATAAGAGCATAACAGAAATGAGGCAGAGAAGATTTTATTCAAAACTGATATGATTGATAGTATGAAGTCTGAGAGTATAGGCAACTACACCGAAGATGACAAGACTCTACGATACACATTCTGGTTTGATAACTGCCGGTTTTTGAAGTTCTATACTGTATACAAAGTTGTGTTTTTATTAATACTGTTATGTACTGGTATATTCAATTATACTATGTCTGATGATATAGCCAATTCTGTTGGAGATAACCAGGCAACACAGGAACCATGGTAGAACTCTGTACAATGGTCTTATATGTTTATTTCATGTGTTTATAGGAATATGTTTTGTCTTGCCTTGCTTTGTTTTGTTTCTCCCTCTAAAAATATAGAAAGGACAGAAATACATGTTAAGACTCATGCATGTGTAGAATTTATAAACAGTTTATGAGAACTGATCTTATGACACATGATGAAATGAACAGATACTTTGAAGAAATAGAGACACTAAAATACCCAGTGCTGATCCTGGAGTGTCATAATGTGAAACCCAGAAATACTATTATTCTTTGTTCAGAGTGATATTAGTCTGCTTGGGTTTGTTCAACTTCAACATAATTGAAGATATGGATAACTGCATGTATGTTTAAGTGTATAAGATTGATAACCATATTTCTAAGTTTTTGTGGAATAGTTAAACAGAACTGGTTGCAGTCTCACTGTTTGAAACCCTTTATATGCTCCACTTTAGTATCTTGAATAACTATTTGTAAGAGCACAATCTGTAATCATTAACTAGTGATTTCTTACTGTTTATTTTTTCTGTGAATGTATGTATTATTTCTACCCATTTTCTGTTTTGTTTAGTCTTTCTTTAAATAAAAATTTTAAAAAACTCTTTCATCTGAGTTAGGAAGCACTTGCCTTTTTATTTGTTATGCTTATGTGTTAGTACAATTGTAAATATTCCACATTGATAATGCTGGAACCCTTGAATTTATTTAGCAGTTAACTTGATCCATTTAATGGGATTCATGGTAAGAATGAGCACTACATTAAAAGAGTTTGATCAGAATGATGCGAGGAGGTGGGGACTGGCTAGGTGAACTAAACTTCAAATACTAGTAATGGGTTCCTTAGTGCTGTACTTAGAGGTGTAACCTATGTCTTTACCACACCCTTTTCCTCATCACACTGGGGCTCAACTACACCCTCAGGCTCTGGTTCCACCTCCACTTCTTGCACTGGCTGTGGCTGCAGCTCAATCTCAATTTCAGGCACCCGCACAGGTGCTGATCCTGTAGCGGTAGGCTCTGGTTGTGGAAAAGGCTCATGGTCTGGCTCCAGCATGCCAACAGGCTCATTCTCATGAGTGGAGGATGGCAGCGTTGCTTCTAGCTGGATAGTATCTTCAGCTGGCATTGCTTCATTTTCTTTTGCTTGGCTTGTTTTTGTCATTGGTCTGCAAGAAAGAATACCCAGAAAAGTATATGTAAGGGAAATGCTCCTTGAAATTTCATGAGGAGCCACATATTCTGTAGTTTCAGTAACATAAGTTGCAGACAGTCCAGGATGTCTGTTAATTCTGATGTTTTGATTCACTGCCTGCATCCATTTGGGGTTCAGAAAGGTTAATTCTCAAAAATGATAAAAGCTCAAGAAAGGCAAACTGTTTAAAAAATGGAAAAGTTATAAGGACAAAAGAGTTAAAGTAGCTAATAAAGTATTAGATTTAGTCTAATAAGTACTAAATCTGTAGCTCTGATGTGTCTCTTTCTCCGATTTAGCACAACATGTGATACCAGATCAGTGCCCTGATCATGGTTATGGAAGCAAGGTGGTGAAAGTGAAAAATGAGTAAGTATGATTGATATACACTAGAGAAGAAACAGTGAAGTGGTTAAGAGTGTGGGCTGTGGGAAGACCATATTCTGACTTCTGTGGAAGATATGCACTTTTGCCTTCATGAGCTCCTTGTTCTACAAAAGTCATTCAAAACTGTAACTATGTTGGCATAAAGACAAACACATTAACATTGTATCATAAAACATTTAATGGTCTTAGGTTGATGTAATGGTTAAATGAGTTAATATACATAAAGTGCTTAGAATAGAGTCTCACTCAGCATATGGTAGCCAACGTCATTATTTTTGTAAAAGCATAGACAGCAACCATATTTTACGTTAAATTTAAGATAAAATTTATAATATTTTATGCTAAAAGGAGTGATTAGAAAGAGCTCACTGAAAGAGAGATGCCTGAGAAATGTTCTTATTCAATCAAATAAAGGGCTTACTCAAGCTCAGTGTTGGTTTTAGAACGCTTCTTCTTTTCCTTTGTCTTGTTTCTTGCAAAGTACACCACAGCAATGATGATGCCAGCACCTGCTAGGATACCAACTAAGGACCCGATGATGATTCCAGCTTCTGGATCTGGAAGATACATGCAGCTGGTTAGTAAGTTAGAACACACTATCACTTCATGCACATGCATTTGTGACTAGTGGAGAATATCTAGAACATTCATATAACAAGATAGTGACTTGTACAGGTTAGGGAACCAAAATCCCTAGAACTCTGCTAGTTGGATTCATACTGTGTGAAGAAAAGAGGACTGTATTGACTATGTAGTTAACCACTGACATTTACACACATAAAAAAGTACCAATTGGCACAGGCACAGTTGCTTTCAAAAGGAGTTTTAAAAAATCTGTCCAGAAACATGCCTCTGTGACCACAAAAACATTTCACCAGATTTTTGCACACAAGTGGAACAAGCCCCTAAAAATCTTGCTTACACACTGTGCTCACCAAGGAGTTTATTCCATTCTGGCCACTGGGGAAGTGATATAGTCAATTCAATAAACAGGCTTATTAATTCAGTCTATGGAAAATTTTAATGAACATGATACAAGCCATCTGAGCACCAGACCTTCTAGGGTGTGGAGTATTGTCACTGTGAGAGCATGTCTGGGTCATAAGCTAGCCCATCGACGTTCACTTTTACCTCAAACCAGATTGAACAACTTATACTGAGATGAAAAACTGAGTTGCCTAATAAATCCTCTAACCTTTTATGATTAAAGGAATACATGTGCATAATTCTGAAAGTTAAACAGTCCCTGCCCCACTTACACCTATTTCTGGATCCCATCCACCAGAGGCACCACTCTGGATCCTTTCTGAAATATCTTGCCCCCATGGTTCTATTATACTTGTTCTGGAATGGTTTGCCTTTTTCAATCTTCATCATTCCCTTTAGACTTCCTACTATGGAAACTGCATATTTAGTTCCCTTAAAGCTCCATTACATTCTCCTAATACAGTTACATAACAAAGTTTATTTAGATCAAAAGTGCAATATTATGACTACATAAATACTACACAATTGAGGGATATAGTACACTGTGATTCTTCCTTGTACAACATTTTTTTAATTCCCAACATTAATAATTGCTTCATTTGGGGATTTGCTTACATTTTTAATGCATCATCACTAAATCCCAAAAAAATCACTAAATGCTTTTCAATGGTTCAAACACATCAGATATCGATTTTTAAGCTTTTTTGTCTATCAGAAACATCCTGTTCGGAATTTCCTCTCCTCTTCCTCCAACACAGACTGGTTGTCATTCTATGTCTGTGGCTGTACTTTTATTCTTTAGCATCCTGGTTTTATACATAAAGAAACAGGCTCCACAAATTCCTTCAAGAAGAAGCTAAGATAGTACTTGGCTGGCAAAGCTGTCCCAAAATCTATAAGCATAAGTGCCGCTTTTTAAGTGTTCTAATAGACACTAATAAGTGTTCTAATAGACTCTAATAGAAATGTTTCTATTGTGGCATTTAGCATAATATAGTTTTTGTTTGTCCCTAGCTGAACTGTGAAATTCTTGAGTGTAGAATTTATCCCTGTATCTCTATCACTTAGGACAATCCCTGGCACATGGAAGACATTCAATAAATGTTTACAGATGGAAGGAAGAAGAGAGGGAAGAAAGGAAGGAAGGAAAGGAGGAAGGAGAAAAGGAAGGGAGGGAGGAAGGAGGGGAGGAAAGAGGGAAGGAAAGGAAGAAGGAAGAGAGCAGGGGAGGGTAGGAGTGAAGAGAGGAGCAGTGGAGGTAGGAAGACAGGCAAACACTGTACATCACTGGAAAATTAGAAAGCAAGACTCAAATTCAAACCCTATTTGCCTGTTTATCTGCAGCATGATTATATTGCTGGGAAAGTATATAGGGCATGGAAGAAATCTGAAAACAATAGAATTGATCATAGGGGAAAAGCTAGGAGTGATATGAGAATACAGGAATGAGCTTCAGATAAACAAAGAAGGTTCAGCTTCATAAGAAGAGCAGTAATCTGATGAAACTTGGATATGACATACATTAAAGCACCAATTCAAAGTATGTCAGAAAAAAAATCAATAGATAACAAGACCTTATATGTTATTTAGCAATTGGCATCTCATATAAGATCTGCCTCTGGATTGGCCTGATTTCCTAATTCCAGGGCCCATAAGCATTATGCGTAGAGAGTAAGCAAGCATCTTTGAACTGAAAGATTGAGGTTAAGAGGCATGTTGGCTCTGTCAGCTATGAACTGGATAATGTTGGGCAAGTCATTTACCTCCCTGAGCTTCAGTTACTTCTTTGGTAAAATACAGTTAATAATATATGCTGTGTAAACACTTTATTGTCTCACTAGTGTGAGAAGCTGAAGGAGTAAATAAGATCCAAAAATTACAATAGATATAGTAAAAGGGAAGGAAACTGCTCAAAGAGAAATTATATTGATCAGTCTTTCATGCTCCTATCTGGTAACCTAGCAATTACTTTGAGGATAACAATATGCAATATAAAAACCATTGTTAAATTCCTATCGTCTTGTTTTGAAATCCTGTATCGCCATTGTTTTATTGTTGTTGTAATTTTGCTTTTGTTGTTTTTTAATTGTTTGCTTCTTGATTTTTCTGTTTTTTCCTTTTAAAATTAAAAAATTGTTTTAAAAAAGGCAATATATTTGTTCCTTCCCATTGGGTAGACGGGAAGTGTGAGTGAGGTAATGCTCATATAGCACCTGGTCCAGTGTCTGGCACATAATAAAGATGATGCTGACAAATATTAGGCACTGTGGTATAAAGATGTGAGTATCATCATCATTAGAGGCAAATGTTAACAAAACAGTTAAGAACTAGAAAGTATGTTTGACAGAGATACCTACAGTGGCACCTGTATTTAACAGCTGCATAATAAAGAAAAATTCAGCCCAATACTCTCAATAAGGTTATTGCTTTACTTATTACCTACTTTCCAGAGATTTTGTAAAATTTAAATAAACTGGTTTTTAAAGGACGTAGTATATTAAATATTATGTAGATATTAGCTATTAGGATGATCATTCACTCTACCAACCTGTAAATAAGGCAAATCCGTCTCCAGAAAGGCAAGAAAGACTAAACAGAGAGCCTAAATAATTTACTTGGCTGACGGCTGCAGACTACTTGTCTCAAAGAGAAACTTGTGAAGTTTTAGGGTCAACTCACTTGATGAGGTTAGATCAATTTCACAGGAACTGTTGCCAAGTTTGTTGATAGCAGTACATTGGTAATACCCTTCTTCAAAATTTGTCAGATTCCCAATAACCAAAATCCCAGTGTCTGGATCTGTTAAAATCAGGAAATAAGATTTTTAAAATCTCTTATGTGGGTACAGATCACGTCATTGCAACAAATCGCTCAGTTCCTATCCATTTTCCCCGCACTGGCTTCCTTTTCTTGAGATGTCCAACTAGGGCCAGCTAAGCCCATGCCTATTTCCTCCACACTCACCACCTCTGAACCACCATCTAAAAGTTGGGGAGTAGGTCATACCACAATCCTCATATTAAGAAACGTGATTCTTTTTAAATCTCTCTCCCTTCCCAAGAAAAAGAAAAGACTGAACACTAAGGACAAGCATCTGGCAACATATTTGTGGTACCAATTAACCTCAAAGACCAGGCACTGATAGCGTTGCCTAAGATGAAACTTACTGAAGCCTTCTTTCACTGGCACAATGTTTCCTCCCTCAAGTTTATACCAGTAGTACGCAGGAGATGGTGTTCCAATTGTGGAGAAGCAAGAAAGAGAGATAGTATGGCCTGCTTCTGGTCTTCCTTGGAGGCTACACAAAGGCTTAGAAGGTTTGGCTGTAAGACAATGAGAAAGAGTAAAATTCATGCAGGATGAATGGTGGTCCATGTCAACTGCAATCACTTCCTTATTTTCATTTCACAGAATGTATTTCTTAAAAAAGAAAAAAAAAACCTATAAAAACGGTTTTCTGGTTGTACCACCAGATGGGAGTAGATCAACTCAGGAGTAGGAATTTTCTAGTAAGAAGGCCATTAAGATGAATCTCCTTCCAGATTTTTAATTGTGATTCTCAGCATTATGCCTTTACATATGTCTTTATTAAAAAGTCAAATGTAGGCAAACACTAAACAACCAGGAACATAGCTTACATTTCTAAAGTAGTTATAAAGGAAACTAGAATTCTTAAATATTTTTAAATAAAATGGATTTTATTCTTTTAAAATTATGTTAATACTGTATTTTTTTCTATCTTTATGTCTTTTTTCATTTATTCATCGGTGGTTGATATGCAACAGTTGGTACTTTTGAATTTGTCTGTGTCCCTAACCAATAGAGGAAGCCCATTTTGGATATGTGCAATGCTGCTTTGCAATCCATGTTCCTCCCTCACTCAGCAGGCGTTTAGTTACATGCTTTCTGTGTGACCAGTACCAATCTAGGAAGCAGGGATTGAAAAGCAACTTTGGCACAGTTCTGAAATGGGAACGGAACATGATGGCAGGAGAAGTTAGAAAGCATCAGGACCCATAATTTGGAGACCTTTGCAGTTCATATATTTTGCAATGACAACAGAGAGATCATAGAAGAAATTCAAGTAGAGTGTAGATGATGGTCATTTTAATATTTTAGAAGAATCACTCTGACACTATGGGTGGCCTAAACAAAGGGGAAGAAGAGACAGGCTCAAAATTTATTAAGGATACTAGAGGAAAGTAAAGTAGAGTAACTGACCAACAGGATATGGGACTTGAGGAAGAGGATGTGAGACTTCTGATTTAGACAAGTGGGTACATGATCTTGTTATCACTTGAGATTAAAAAAAATCTCAAAGAGAGGAGCAGGTCAATGGAGGTGAGGGGGTGATGAGAAATAGAAGAGATGGTAAGGTGTTTGGAGCATCAAGTTTTAGCTGCTTATGAAAATACCTTGATAGAGAAGTACTGTAGGAAGCAGGGAATCTGAACCTCCCATTCAACTTTTCACAGTTTCTCTTGTTTTTAATCGTACATAGTATGCAGTGATCTGAAGTTCTATACTTTCCAGTTCACTTTCCTTCTCTTAACTTGGATATAAAACTACCCAAAGGCTGACATTCTCTAACTTATGCAAATTATATCTTAATTGATTTAGGCCACTCATCCCTCAAGTTATTGTTATTTTCATTATACTGTTGAAGACTGAACCCAGGGGCTTGCACATATTAGGCGAGTACTCTACCACTGAGCTACGTCCCTGAGGCTTTCCTGCTCCTAACCTGGCACACAGTAGTTAAGAGCACACAGCTTTGTATCCACATATAATATGAGCTCTGCAACTTTGCTTTTGATGTATTCTGGCAAGTCATGAAACATAACCAAACCTTGGTTGACTCGTCTATAAAATGTGAATAAGAGATCATCCAACCTCTAACCTCTGGCTGATCCAAAGATTAAGTAAAATAACACATATAGGACACATGGAATTGTTGCTGGCCATGGACAAGACTAATTGCTGCTACTAAAGTTAATCTTCCCTCAATTGTTGCTCCATTCAGCCATCTAATATTCTGACTCCTTATCCACATGAGCAAGAAGATGTGTATTGAAATGCTTCACTACACCTGTCTATTTTTCTGTTTAGTTTCTCTTTCTTCCTTAACAATGATTTTCTCAGATAGGAACAATTTGATTTTTTTGTCTTAAAGTAGGCTATCAAACCAAGAATCCATTGCTATTATCACTAAATATAGATACTGCATTTTTTAAAAAAATAAAAGATGGAGATTTTATAGCCTTCACAGTAGAAGGAAATAATTTAAACAGAAAAGTAATGCTGGTGTTTTACTGCAAACACATAAAAAGTCAGATACTAGATCCTAAACAAAATTGAAGACAGACACCCAAAATGATGTGTACTTGTTTCTTGAACCTAGATTCAAGGAACAGGTAGACTTTGGGGGAGGGGTTGCCACACATATCTGTTTTCTTTTATTAAACACTTAGTTGATTACTTTGAACCAAGTCCCAAGCCTATATATTTTCTAAAAGTATCAAATCAGAATCGCATTGACATTTTATCAAGTTTAAGTCCCCAGGAGAATTTGGATGTTTTATTGGCAAAACTATTGATGTACACTTTGGCTTAATTGTTTTCAATAGAATTGGCATGGTAACAACAGGCTCACCTCAGAAAATAAATGAACATGTTTCAGTATATTCTCAAACTTTCTCATAATTAACCTCTCTCTCTCTCTCCTCCCCCCAGTTACATTCCGAATTGCAGAAGTGAGATGATGTTCATTCCAAATGCACACAAAATAATTATTCAGATTTGGCCTTTTCAGAGACTAATTTTCCAAGGTTGTCATAATTAATGAACTCTTTCAAATAAATGGCCATCCAGATTGCCTGGTCCTTTGCTTGCTGTAGTATCATTCACTTAAATTTTGCCCTACTACCTCGACCCTTTAAATTATTATTCTTTTAAAGCATTAACTTTATTGTTTAGCTTTATTTCAAGATTGTTTCCAAACCATGTTATGGAGAAGATTACCCTGTTTAGATTGTTTCTGCTCAGAAAACCCCAGAGCAAAAGATCAGCAAAAAGTCAACTGAATAATTAATCCCTCAGATTATTTGAACATTAAAAAACCCTGCACTCTCCAGTATCTCATTTGATCCCCTTAACAAACCAGTGAAGAAGACAGAGCAGGAATTACAACCCTATATTGCAATAGCCAAAAAAAGATGGACTGATTTGCATGAGGTCACTGAGTAGAGTAGAATTTAGATCTTCTGATCTCCACTTTGATACTTTGGCATTTATATCACAACCTTTAGCCATTTAGTTCCCATGTATGTGACTAGTCTTCCAAACTGGAATATAAACTCTCTCAGTAAAGTGTTGGAGTAATACTTCTCTTGTCTGCCCCTTAGGCATAAAATTTAGGCTTTCTGGATGTTTTAAGATAGATAATTTTCTCTAAAAGTTAAAAGCCTATTTGTAATTCTCAAATCCAAAATATGAGCACCTATTCTGCTTTCTCGACCTAGCTCAGCAAGAGAAAACACAGTTTATCCAACCAACCCACTCTTAAACATCAACTCTTGGGGGCCTTTCCCCCTTTTCTGGGTGTGTAGATATAATAGAAAACCTCACAGTAAATATCAACTGCTTCCTTTTTGGCATCACCTGGGCGGAAAGCCACCACAATGATTGACAGTTCTCCGAGGTATACACTTTCTTACCAATTGCTGCTTTTCCAAGTAACTCAATGATCAAATCATTGATTTGATATAGTTTCTTTTATCCTGTGATATTATACATATAGGTTGAAAGGAAAAATAACTTGATAACTCAATTTGGGGTTCCTTGCAAGTGGGAAAATGCTTAGTCAACTGGTTATGTAGTAAGGGTTGGCAATCCTTGTTTCCCTCTGTTTGGTGCTTCCCACCTCCAGGGCCTGCAGATAACTGCTTAGCCCCCACTCTCTTCTCATATAGTAGTTGGAAGGATCCTTAGAAACTGCTATCAATGGGAGCTCCCAAAGGGCACAATGCATGCCCGTACCACTCCAAACTTTATCTCTCCTGGAACAACACAGGAACTCCATAAATACTGAATAACTGAACTACTCCAAAATTCATTTTGAGAGTAGATATGACTTACCCAATGTCATATAATGAATGTTTAGATAAATAAATTAGTTCTTGACAATGGCTCAATTTGTACTCCTTATTCCAAATAGCATTCACATTTTTAAATGGGGATCTTTGTGCCTTATTTAAAAGAAGGATTTAATAGTAGGAATTGTGAGGGGCTTGCAAAAGATAATAAGTTCACAACTGTCTCTTCTTGGGTATATGTAATTGGAAGTTGTGTCTAAATCCTTGCTAGAGATCATTTGGTGGAAGAGTAGGTTGTTTCATCTGCTCTTATTGTATTCTTTAGAGACAAGGGATTGCTGGAGGTTGAGTCATCTACTGTGGTCATTTTGTCAGCCCTCCTACTTTGACAATTGTTTCTCAATGTTTTATGAGTGATTTCTCAGAGATACTGTATAATGTCTTTAGTTCCCTGATAATGAAAAGATGGAAAGACTTAATTGGCATCATAACTTAGTGCCCTGGATCATTCAGTGCACTAAGTTGCTCTAAGAAGAGAAAAGACAGAGAGAAGTGCACATACCTAACACAGTGACGTTGATGATGCCTTGGTTTTTGCCGGAGAAGTCTGGGGGGTTGTTAACGTCACAGATGTAAATTCCACTGTCTTCTGGTTGCATATGTGATATGGTTATAGATGCATTATCTGGATTGGTGGACCCTGTAATTCGACCTTTGAATTTCCCAATGGCTGAAGATTCTCCACCTTCAGAATAGTAAATCTAGGACAGAAAAGTAACAGAAGTGAGAATTTGAGAGTGCTCAAGACTAGGGTAAGCTACAAAGAAGCTCTTATATTCACATTAATTTTGATAAGAAACATCTTCCCTCAACAAAAACAGATCCCTGTAGTTAAAAGTTCTCAATTCAGAGGGACACTTAATCTTTACAGCTACTCATGGCCATTATCTCTCTTGTGCTTCTAAGCAGCTCTGTGACTTCGTCAAGCCAGGGCAAGAGACAGCTGGTATCTATAAGATTCAACTCCTAAGCCTTGGGTAAGAGATCAAAGTGCTTACCTGGTGAGTCTACCTGAAGGAAAGTCATCATATAAGACACAAATATCTGATGGAGGGGCAAAAGCCATCATTCCATCAACTTATAATCTTTTGATATCAGTTTACTTTACTCAGGGCAACTATCTAGTTTCCATAAAAGTTCAACTGTTCATGTTCTTTTGATACACACATATTCCTTTGAATAAGCAAACTTGGATTTATTGTTTGTTATAGTGTAGCATTATTATGGTTATTAAAGTGTAGGATTTCAGAGCAGAAAGTTCCCTGAGAATTCATCTGAATTCATCCCCTCTTTGTGGTGGTATAAGTACAAAACAATGTGCACTAACAAAAGTCCTAGGTAGTGCTTACTGAATCCTTCTCCCCAAGTGAAATAAGTGAACTCAAACCTAGAGAGATTAAATGACTCATCTATAGCCACATGACTTATTTGTAATTATTATAGTGATGTAGTAGATTTCAGAAAGATCTGTATTCTAGTATTCCATTAGACAACGTGGACACTTAGATCATAATGGTTTCCATGGGTGGGCACAGCATGATATGGTAGGAAAAGACTTGGTCTAGGAGTGAGAAGTCAGATGGTGGGGCATTTGGCCACAACTCTGCCTCTGACTGCAACACAATCAAGGAATGTGTCCTCTAGTCATGCCTCCATGGCAACCTCCTCTGTGATAAGAAACAAAGTTATTTAATCTCTTTAACCTTTAGTTTCCATATCTGAATGAGGAACCAAAGTAATGTTTTACAGTGTATGCTATGTATTACCTAAATAGAGATACTTATGTTGATTTTAGGTGTTACCAAAATGAAAACCCACTAATTTCAATGTGTTAGAAAGAGACATATCTAATGCATCAAATGCATAGCTTCACAAATATTTTTCTTTGGGGTGATGTTAATGTATATGACTTTTAAGATTTTAAGGGGCTGGGGATTTAGCTCAGTGGCATAAGCGCCTGCCTTGCAAGCAGGCAGTCGTGAGTTCGATCCCTGATACTGATAAAACGGAAAAAGACAAAATAAAAGATTTTAAGAAACCAAGTCAATATAGGAAATAACATTAAATAATTAATAATGCTGGTGATACACAAATAGGACAATAATCATAAAGATATATGAGTAACTCATGACTGAAACATGGGAATCACTAAACTAAGTAATCCTTGGGGTCTTGTCATAATTTACATCTTCAGGATAAACACTTTGTTATTTTCATATAAATGTCTGTCATTCAGCGATTGTTGTTTATGTTTTCAATGAACTGACATTACCTAAATCCAATAAGACTAGTCATTTTCATAAAATTTAATAAAAGACTTACAGTTCATTTAATTCCCTCTTCCCACATTCAGAAGAAGCCCAGAGAGGTCTAAATCATATCTACATACAAAATGAACAGTTTAGTCCAGACTAAAATCCAGTTCTTCTAATTCCTTGTCTAGTATCTTTACTTAATTGGTCACTAAAAGAAAGAAATCACAAAATAAAGGCATATTGTTTAGATGAATTCAAATACCTTCTTTAATCACAAGATCAACATATTTTAAAATAAAGACAGAAAGGTAGGTTTTGAAGTAGAAACCCAAGAAACAAGCATATTTAAAAAGAAAATAATGTTCCTCTGGGTTTTCTAACATCAGTATACTTTCTTTCCTGCCCTAAATGTGGCAGGAATAATTATAAATCATTCACTCATACCCACTGAAATCACAAACTTTTGCCTAGAGTGATTTTGTTTGACTTACAAATCAGAAAACCAGTGTTAATTCAAGTACTCAAGTGAGACAGGAGAAAGTTCAAATCATTAAAGGTCTTTTGTTTTAATTTGACTAGTCAGCATGAAGCTTATTTGCTTTCTAATTGAAATTTGAAATCCTATTTTTGCTCACCTAGATTGTAGCCTGCTGCTCATCAAGAAAGCCCCTTGTAATCTGAACATCTGGCTATTTCCTCAGCTTCCAAGAAAACTGGGGACAAGCCAGCACTGTTTTATAATAATGTTTTATGACATCACAGTGATGCAATATCAGCCCTACCTGAAATCCACAGGCAATCCCAGAGCATCCTAGTGAAAAGGCCCTTATTTCTGCAGAAATCAGGGTGCCAAGGCCAGGACTAAGACATGAAAAGAAGCCACTATAAAATCTTAATTTGACATGAATCAAGGTGAAATTAGCTAATAAGCAGTGAGGCTCTAGACCTGTAAAACCCATGAACAAAACCTTCACCACTCCCTTCTACCCTAACTCCTCACACTGCAATCTAATAGATTTTTCCCTCTCATGAATGACACTGAAGCATAGGAATGGGAGTGGGGAAGGAAAATAATGGAGATTTAAAAAGGAAAGACTTGGCCTCAGGACATTGTGTGAAAAGGAAAGTCCCCAGAGCTACACATACCCAGATACAGAGATGTAGGCATTTTCTGTTGGGGGAAATCCACTCTGTCACACGGTCTTTGTAAAGAAAAAAATGTTTTCCCGAAACTGCTTATCTAATCACACAAGAAGGAGTGCAAGTTGGTTCCATTTTCCACAAAAGAGTGATTCTTTTAAAAATCAAAACTGGGCAGTGGCCAAGGCCCAGCCTGTGATCCCTTGTGGCAGACATACTTTTCAAGGAAAGAATATTATCAATTTAGAATTCAAAGCAATTGAGGCCCAGGAAAAGCATCAGATATTCAACAGAGTGCCTTGGTGGAGGAAAGTGAAGTCTTGCCTAAAGAAAACAAATCCAAGTGTTCCCTTAAGTTATACTTTTTCATTTTATACCCTCTTGCCTTTGTGGCTGTGTTCATGACAGATAGCCCTGCTTTATCCAAGGTTCCTCTTTTCCTGCCCCTGTGGTGTAACTGGAGACTGATGGCTACAGTCACAGTAGCATATTGGTTATAAGATCCTCTTTAAGCTCACTTAGTGATGATTTTTAAAGTTAAGGAACCACTAGGCATGGTGGTGTGTGCCTGTAATTCTAGCACTCTGGAGGCCTAGGCCTGAAGATCACCATGAGTTCCAAGCTAGTCTGGGTTACATAAGCAAGTTCAAGATCAGCCTGCACTTACGTAGCAAGATCCTGTCTCTAAAATAGAATTAAATTAAATTAAATCAAATAAAAAGTTACGAAGTCTTCAAGAGTCATATGAATGCTGAAAATCTGGGAAATGGTTTTGAAGCACTGCTGGGTAGCTCTAGAATCATAAGGAATAATGGGACCTCGGTGAATTTCAGAGCCAGTGAAATCTTGGAAACAAACCTCCAGAATTATAAACCAGAATACAGCTACTGGAAAAATCTGGCCCCCAATTTGCAAACTCTGATTCATCCTCTGCTATCACAGAGGACACTGAGGTCTCATTAGAAGAAGTGATTTTCCCGAGGTCACACAATCAATTTACAGGCAGACAGGCAGAACTGGAATCCACACTTCTTGATTCCTACTGACTACATTAAGTAAACCCCACTCATAGTCCTGCCTGAGGCAAGGAAGATAATTCTCAGGCATTAATTTGGGGCCATTCCATCCTCTACTCCAGTCTGACCCTTTTCTTGACTGTTGCTGCTATTGACTAGCCTGATATTTTCCGTGCTAAGTTTCATTGTGTGATGCCCTTGACATTTGCTAGCCACACTTCAGGCTCCTAGGTTCTGTGAAGAACAGTTTTTCACCTCCCACTGAGCCAAGTTCCTAGCCAAAAAGGGCTATGCATCTGGGAGCCAGATTTGCCTTCAAAGTTTGTTTCCTCAACTTCATGTCACTGTTTTCAAACTAAACACTAGATATAAACAATAAGTCTTAAAAGAATTCCATCTGCTTTGAATTCTGGTCACAATTGGAGTTACTAAATGTCCTTAGCTTCCATAGATGGTTTTCCAGGTCCCTTTAGAAGATGTGAAAGGCATGGAAGTCCACTACAAACCATTCTTTCTTTCCCTTTAAGCTTGTTGCTTTCCCATATTGCTTATAAAGAGGGGATAGCCCAGAATTTTCTTTGCTCTATACTATGGGAGATGGTATTGCACATGGACTTGTACACGGATTAGGTTATAAAGAGAAAGGCTATCCTGTCCCCCAACTACTTCTTTTTAACCAGTCTGCTATTTACCTGAGATTTCCACCATTTGTGTTACTACCTTGTGATACCTTGGAGTAAAGTTATGAAAGATCCCTGATTAAATGCATCGGTTTAGAGGAGAACAATATTAACTGCCTTTGCTTATTGACATCTCAGCATTAGATTAACTTATAAGACTTAGAAAATATAGAGTCATGGGAAATGAAACCCAGAATACATGAAATTCAGTGAGGATGGAGGGAAGATTTGTAATGTTTCTCAATAAGGGTGACACTAGAATTTTGGACAGATAATTTTTGTTGTGGGTACATCCTATGTATTGAGGGTATTTAGCATCTCTAGCAGCACCCACTAAATGCGAGAAGTGACTCCCCATCCTAGCAATCAAATCAACATCCTCTTCATTCTCAAAGGTCTCTTAATTCATGAAATATTTCTCCATGTACCTTCACACCATCATATGAAAAGAACTTAATATGCTACCTATGGAGGACAGATCATGTTGAAAAATCTGAGAAATATGTATGTGGGTATATGAGGGTGCACAAGTGTTTCTTGTACTATATTCTAGAAGAGTGTTGGCTAAGAAACCATGCTAAGCATGATCAATCTGTGTTCTGTTCACGGGCTGTATTTTTTACCAAAACAGGCTGAGTGGAAGAAGAGATTCACCAACGTACACAGGCCTAGAATTTTCAGCTGTGATTCATTGCTGAAGGACTATCTGAAGATGACTATCTGAAGATGATTTTCTGAGGGGGAGGTCTTCTCTGAGAGGAGGACCATACTGATGAATGTCCTTGCCTTCAGGTTAGAAGATTTTAGGATTTCTGCAGTCTCCATTTTCTCCAAGCAACTTCTTGTAGGACGATGTCAGTAAGATGTAGCACCCACTCTTGTGTATGAGAAACAAGAGGGCTCAGAGTCAACTGCTAATTTTAACACAGTGATTTGGAAGGAGAAAAAGACAATGGGCATATGGCAAGAGCTGCTCTAGTCAGGGTAGCAACAGAACCCTGAACCTCTTGGAAGAGGCTGAAAAGAGCCCCAGGCACCAACATAAAAATGTAAACTCAGAATATTCCCATTTTTGTCAAGGGCTTGTGTTCATCTGTATTGTTACCAAACTCATCCCCTCCAATCCCACTCCTAAAGCCCGTGCCAGTCCCCTAGAGACACCTAACAGTGAAGGGATCTAGTACACCAACAGGTGTTCTTACCTGAGAGGTCCAGCTACATCTTCCCCGAGCGTCTCTGGCATGCGTCATTTTTAGACACTCACTGACTGTCTTTTCCTCCATACCCTCAGTATTGAGGCACGGGCTGTGCTGTGTTTGAGCAGAAATGGGTGGATCTGAGAGCTGAATGCTACATGGTATAATGTCACACCAACCCAGGAGCTGACTTGAATCACTCATTGGTCAGTCTGGCAACATCTTACTCCTATATGTCATAGAATTGTCTAAGAACATAGTAGTCTCTTTTCAGCATCCCCAAAATGTCCTTCCAGCATTACCCACATTAATTTTGTAGAGCATTAATGTGCTCTACAGAATTCTAACCCCATGGAAGTGCTCAAAGAGGAAAAGGAATTACAATGGAAGTCAATTACAATTCCCATCCTGAGAAAACCCAGGATGTTGACAGCTCCTTGGCTGAACACTTTCTGTTCAAGGACTAGATGCGTAAAGAAGGAGTCTAGGCACTCCCTCTAGCTGTCAGGTTCTGGTAGGCAGTGGAATTGGGTGCCAGTCTTGAGCTAGGATGTCCCAGTTCTTCAGTCATAGTAAGAATATCATGTTGGGCTAAATTTCCTAGAGCCTATTTTTCTATTGCTCTGGTATACCAGGGAGCATGGGTGGGATTAAGTTTTTGCAAAAATCACTCTTTAAGGAGTGGTGATCTTAATAATAGTAGTTCATATTCACTGAGTGTCCACACTGTGGAAGGCTCCCCAGTGCTTCACAAGCATTACCACATTGAATTACCTCATTAAAGCAATGTGCTAGGTAAGTTGCCCCAGTTTTACAGATGGAAAAATTGAACCCTTGATAGGTCAAGTGACTTGTCCAAGGTCATTCAGCCAGTTATTAAGTGGCAGAGTAAGGAATAGAATAGTCATGTGTTATGAGCTTTCCACTGAAACTGCAAAATTACTCATCTAGGAAAGCAAAGAGAAGCATACGCCTGCAAGGCATATCTGAAGAGAGAAAAGCAGGATTCTAGTTCTCCCTAGCTAGAGACCTAAAGAAGATCTAGCTAGAACTGAAGCAAGACAGGAAAATAAGAGAAGAAGAAAATTCATCTCCAGGTAGGTTCATTGTCCTTAAGGCAAGAGATGGCTCTACTCTACCTTGCTTTCCCTTTGGCTAAGACCCAGGCATTGCACAGGTCTCATATAGCTTTAAGATGGAGGAGGAGCTTTTCCCTAGTCCAGCAGCTCAGTGCAGAGGATCTCATTTGAGCTTGACATCCAAAAAGAGAAACTATCTGAAATTACCCCCTTACCTGCACCTGGCATTCTGAAGAAGGAGGCAAATAGCAAGTAAATAAACTATTCCTTGACTTTTCTCTTTAAATTTTTAAAAGAGATGCCTCAAGTCACAATCTATTCAATCATGTATACCTTCTTCCCCCTCCATTCTCAGGCCTACAAAAAGATGAGGGAAAGTTTATTCAGCCCTGTAACTCCCTCCCAGCTTCATACTAGCCACACAGGTCAACCAAGCAGTGACCCTGTAAATTCCAGTGTCAGAAGTGACATGCAGAAGAATTTGTGGTTTTGAGTTCAGAGGTTTGCTTGACTTCCAGGTAGTTGAACATCTTGATTTGAGTATCAAGCATAAACCTTTTCACAATATATTAGCAAGACCTGTTACGCTCCTATTGGAAAAATAGAAAATTGGACTTTAAAAACAATGAAAGATCATGTGATTGCTGCAATTTACATTCTAAGAGCAACCCGAATAAGTAATAAATTTTTAATTGATTCCAATATGCAAAGCCTTGGGTCAGGACATTCTGGGAGATGGAAATTGGTAGAATTACTGCTTTTATTGATGCTGGTATTACTGTTAATGCTGAATCATAATAACGTTTACAAGGGATAAAATCTTTTAGGACTTGATTTCTTTTTCAAATATTCTCACATTTATTCAGTTGACTCCTCCTGAGTATTATTGTTCTACCATATTTTTAAAGAGAGGCATTGAGTGATTCAAATATTTTTCCAAAATAAATATGAAGAGAACACAAAGACCAAGTTACCTAGGTGATGGTCTTCCCTAAACATCTGTTTTCAAAGTTTTCATATCTCAGATTTTTTCACTGTTGTCAGTGGCATACAGGTCCTTCATACACTTACCCCAACAATTATCAGTCAGAAATACCAATGGGGAAAAGTTTAAGAAGAGAATCCTTACAGAAATTGGTTCCACTTCCTGTTTATGGAGGAAAGACCACTGGATGGAAAGCTTGTCCCGGGAGGCCACAGTGGAGGTGTAGATACACATGAGAGTGACATTAGATCCAACCATCACATTCACGAAACCTTCTGGGATAGTCACTTGCACCACACTAGCTTGACCTGAAAAGATAATCATCAGAAAAACAATAGTACTCACAATTGGAAAACAACCTCTTTGCTGTTGTTTGGTCCCAAAACACTCTCAAAAATATCTTATTTTAGTGAATCCAAAGTGTGGAGATGAAGGTAGAATGAACCAGCACAGAAAACCTAAGCAGGCAATGGGATCAGGAAGAGGAAATTTTCTAACAAGTTAAAATGTGAAGATACTCAAATCCTAGGTGATGCTGAGGTAATAGCACTAAATTGGGAATTCCTTCTTTGCAGGTGTTGTCTTGCACAGAGATTCTTAGAGTCCTGTTCAAGTTTCTAAAGTACTCCATAAGTTTGGAGAAAAATCAACCCAGTTTGCTCAGAATCAAGAGTACTCCTAGAATATGAGACAGTTAGTTGTAAAACCAAGTAAGTCTCAGGAAAAGCATATTGGTTTTTCTAAGGCTTTGTGGCTCAAATCTAGGAAAATCTTAGGGAAATTGAGATGAATTGGTCATCTTATCTCTAAAATCATTTGGAAACAGGAAGAACTATAAAATCAAAATCAAACAATAATGCTAAGGCCTTTTTCATTTCATTTTCATCCTTTCATGAGTATACAGTAGAGTTTTCCAAAATCTGCGTGACAAGTAATTAAAATCATTGCCTTCACAGCTAATGGAATTTGTGCTTGTGTATGTTTTTTTTAAAGTTTTAATCTCTAACATTAAATATAGACAAAAATAACTCACATAAAGTAACCTATTTGAGGTCACCAGTATACACGTTAGGCAAGAGCCCATCCCATCTCAATAATTTGTAATTAAAATTTTTATTGAAATAATTGTAGAGTCTGATGAAATTCTAAGAAATAACAATAAGATCTCAGGTGCATTTTACCCAATTCCTCTCAATGCTAATATTTTGTGAAACTATTCTATATCACAACAAAGATACTGACCACTGATCTTGCATATGTTTCTCCTACTGTATTTATAGGAATATGTATTATAGCTTATAAGAAGTCCCCCCAAACCTCACACACTCATAAGTGGGCCTTTTAGGAGATGATTGGGTCATTGGTTCATGACATTCATCAATGGATTAGTCTTTTGACAAATTCATAGTTAAATGTGATGTTGGGGAATGAAGTCTAGTTGGAGGAGGTGGATCACTGGAGGTGTGGCCTGACAGGGTCTATCTCTCTCCTTCCTCTCTCTGCTTCTTTCCTGCCACCATGCCATGAGCTGTTTCTCCTTTTCCGTGCCCCCTGTCATACTGATGCAGGAGTCTAGAACATGGCAAGCCAGCTGGAAAATTTGATGTCAGAAGAGGATACAAAAGGCTGTGGCTATTAGCTTCATTGCCACAACCGTTTTATTTTTGTAGGTTTGTGTATCTAATACCACAATTAAGATATTGAGCAATTCTATTACTGAAAATATCCATGTTCTCCTTTTATAATCATTCCCACCTTTCTCCTATACCTTATCCTTGCTCCTAACCATCAACAACCACATATCTATATTTATTTCCGAAATTCTGTCATTTCACAAAGGTTACATAAATGGAATACTAGTAAACTTTTGTAATTGGCTCTTTACACTTAGCATGATTACTTGGAAATCCACTGAAGTTTTATCTGTAAGTTTTTACTGCTTATTAATATGTGTTGTGATATGTGCATCATAGTTCAACCATTCGCCCATTTAGGGACATCAGAAATATTTCCATCATTTGCCTATTGAATAAAAATGCAATGAATGTTCATGTACAGATTTTTTGGTGAATATAAATTTTCATTTTTCTGTGACAACCATATAACAGGAGCTATTGCTGGGTCATACAGTAATTATATTCCTAGTTTATATTTAAAAAGTCACTGTTGCAAGAGTGGCTATAACATTATACATTCTCATCAATAATATATAAGTGATTCAGTTTCTCTGCATACTCACCAGCATTTACTATGGTCACTATGTTCTATTTTAGTCATTCTGTTAAGAATCTATGGAATAACATATCATTGTGCTTTTATTTGCATTCTTCTAATGTCTAATTATGCTAAACGTCTTCTCATATCATTATTTTTCAGTTGTATGTCTTCTTCAATGAAATTTTTCCTATTTTTCTCATTTTCTAATTATATTGTTTAATGATTTATGCTTGAGTTTTGAAAGCTCGCTATATGATCAAGATGCTAGTCTTGTTCAGCAAAGAGTTTTATTTTTTCCTTTCCAATATGTATTTTTTTATTTCTTTTATTGCTTAATTTCAGTGGCTATAACTTCTAGTAATATATTGAATAATATGAATGAGAGTGAAAATTCTTTCCATGTTCCCAATATAAGAAGGGGATTCAATATTTCACTATAAGGTACAAATACAAAGTTAGCTGTAGGTAACTTATTGACATTCTCTATCAACTTGAAGGAATTTTCCTCTATAGTGTGTTGAATTGTGTCTTTCCAGGGATAAACCTAAGTCCTAATCTCCAGTATCTATGATCTAGACCTTATTTGGACACAGGGTCTTTGTGGATATAATTAAGAATCTTAAAATAAGATTATCATAGATTTAGGAGAGGCCTTACTGTTGTTGTTCTTACAAGGAATGGGAAAGGAAGATTTGACACACGCATATAAAGAGGAAAAGGCCATATGAAGATGGAAGCAGAGATTGGAGTGACACATGCCAACCACAAACGGGCTAGAATTGGCAGCACCTATTTAGGAGAGAATTGTGGCATGGATTTTTCCTTCATAGTCTTCAAGTAATCAATCCTGCTGACAAATTGATTTAGGACTTTTGGTTTTTAGAACTGTGAGATAATAAATTTCTCGTGTTTTAGACTATCCAGTTGTGGCAATTTGTTACAGTATTTCTGGGGAGTTAATATTCTATTTATTCCTAACTTGCTGAGATTTTTTTTATCATAAATTAATATTGGATTTTGTCAAGTTTTTTGAAGTTTATATGATCATGTTTTCTCTTTAGCCTGTTTATATGGTGATTTGCATTGGCTAACTTTTAATGCTGAACTAACCTTGTATAGTTGAGGTAAATCCTATTTGGTCATGATATATATTTCTTTTTACATATTGTTTGATAAAATTTGCTAGTAAGTTGCTGACCTTTTAAATTGAAGCTCATGAGACATATTGGTCTGTAATTTTCTAATTTTGTACATTTTGCCTGACTTTAGTGTCAGAAATGCTGGCCTGATAAAATAAGTTGGAAGTGTTCTCTTCTATTTATTTGGAAGAGAATGTATAAAATTGATGTCCATGTTTGTAGAATTATGCACTGAAAGTACCTAGGTCTGAAGATTTCCTTTGCAGGGGCTTTTAAAATTATGAATTTAATTTCTTTTATGTTTATAGAATATTTAAAATATCTATTTCTTATTGGGTGACTTTTAGTGGTTTGCTGTTTGTTGAGGTATTAATCCATTTCTTCTAAACTGTCAAATATATGAATGTAACCTTGCTCATAATATTCCCGTAGTCCTTCCATTTTATTTATTTATTTATTTATTTATGGTAGTACAGGAATTAAAACTAGAGCCTTTGCACTGAGTTCTACACCTACCCCTTTTTTCATTTTTTATTTTGAGATAGGGTCTCACTAGCTTGCTAAATTACCCACACTGAACTTGAACTTGTGATCCTCTTGCCTCAGCCTCCCACAGTGCTGGGATTATGGACATGTGCCAGCATGCCTAAATGTATTCCCTTGTATACTGTATTTTTAATGATCACAAGATTGTAGTGGTAGCCCATATTTCATCTCTGATATTGAAGATCTGTGTGCTAGGTCGATTTTCATCAATTTTGCTAGATGCTAGTCAATTGCATTGATTTTTTTTCAAAAAATGTGATATTTATTTTATTGATTCTTTTGATAGTTTTCCTATTTCAATTTCACTGATTTCAGCACTTAAGTATTTCTCCCTTCTGCTTAATCCTGCTGGTTATTTTGGTTCTCTTTTCCTAATTCCTTGATGTAGAAACAGATTATTTACTTAAGACCTCTCTTCATCTTTAATGTAAGTACTTATTGTTGTAAATTTCTCAGTACAGCCTTAAATGCATGTTATATATTTGTGTGTTTCTCTTTCCATTTTTATACAGTTTTATCTATTTTTAAACATTTGCACTGAGACTTCCTTTTTGACTCACAGGACATTTAGATTTCATGTAGATTCCATGTGTTTAGACTTTTTTGTTCCCTTCTTTAATTTTCTTTTCTCTTCATTCTTTTCCCCTTTCCTCTCCTGCCCTCTCCTTCCATCTCCTCTCCTTTTTCCTTTCTTTTTCTCTCCTTTCTTTTCCTCTCTGTGCTCATCCCCTGTGTTTCTTTCCCACCCTCATTTTTTTGTCTTTCTTTGCAGTGCTGGAGACCAAACCCAGGGCCTCATACATGCAAGAAAGTGTTCTACCACTGGAATACACCTCTGTCACTCTACTAAAATTTTTAGTTGGATTCCATTGTAGTCAGAGAACATACTTAACTTGAATTTTTAAAATATACTTAAGTTTATGTTTTGGACAAGCACAGCATCTCTCTCGGTGAATGTGCTATAGCCATTTGAGATAAAAAGTTCACTATCTTACTGCTGAGTAATATGTTGTATACAAGAGATATAAACTAAAACACAATGAATAAATCAAGATAGATCCTATTGGTGGAACATTTTTTCTATACCTTCTATATCCTTCCTTACATTCTATTTAGTAGATTTATCAGTTTATGAGAGGGAATATTTAAGTTTCCAACTGTATTTGTGAACTAATTCTTTCCCATTTCAGCTCTATCCATTCTTGTTCATGTAGTCTGAAGGTCTGTTTTAGTATGGACGTGTTAAGAATCATTGTGTTATACTGCTGCAGTGATTCTATTATCTTTAGATAATATTTCTCTGTCTCTAATAGTTTTCTTTGCTCTGAAGTCTATCAGATATTATATATATTAATTAGATTTTTTATTTTATTTTTTCCAGATGGAAAAATATTTTTTAAATTTTA